GTCGGCCCCTGGTGCTGTGTCCTTGCTTCGTTTTAGCGACTTCTGGAGTTCTTGCTGGTTGAAAGGTCTGTCGGTGTCATCTTCACTGTTGCAGGCCTCTTCGATCATCTGGAGTCTGACCTGTCGCAGACGCCGTTGTGTCTCCTCTGCCTGTCTCGGGAAGTTTTTCGTTGCTGCTCGGTCAGAGAACAGTTTTGCAAGTCTCTCGGCTTCCTCTTCTGGGTTGGGATGGGTTGGTGGTGGTGGTGTTGCCTTCCCAGATGCCCTTCGGATCTGGGCCCACATTTTGCCAAGGGAGGTGTGCTCGTTCAGTTCGGAGCACCACTTGAGCCAGCTTACGTTTTTTATTTCTTCCTTCTCTTCCCTGGTATCCTTAACTATGACTTGCAGGAGATGTCTGTTTGTTTCCGTGGGATGTCTCCTGTAGTTTCTTCGGGCCATGTTCACTCTGTGGTTGAGTTCTTTCACCCTGGGACAGTAGTACCAGTAATCATTGTACTGTCTTGATGTGGGTTTTGTTTTTGGGATAGCCTCTTCTGCCGCTTGGTGAAACGCCTCGACCAATTGTTGGTGGAGGGTTGTCTCGTCCACTGGTGCTGGGCCGGCCGGCTGTGATTTTTCGCGCCACGTAGCCAGGTGTTTCTTAAAGAGTCCCCAGTCTGTCTTTTGGGTATTGTATCTCCATCTCGGCGGGGGTGGAGTGGGGAGTTTGTTCACCTTCAGCGTTTTTAGGGTGGCGAAGTGGTCGCTGGTCAGCGTGGGGTGTAGCTGCCAGGAGGCCGAAGGCTGTAGTGCACTGGAGACGAAGGTTAGATCTAGCCTTCCTCCCCTAGTGTGGGTGGGCTCTCCGGTGTTCAGGAGGCAGATCTCGGGTGTGTCTTGAAAGGTGGTGTATAGGTGTAGGCAGTCTTCATTTGTGGGGCTTACCGAGCTTAGGAAGGGATGATGTGCGTTGAAATCCCCACCTATGAGTGTGGCGTGGTCAGCGGCCGAAGCGAATAATTGAGTCACCTCCAGTGAGCCCCTTGGGTTCTTGTAGATGATGTGAACAGTTAATTCCCGTTCTTGGAGGGTTACTTTGACGGCCTGTGTCTCGATGTTTTCCCCACATGGAAATTGCTGCGTGACCTCGGAGGAGGGTATGCTTGACTTGACCAAGATCATACATCCTCTTGTTGACGCTTTCGTGAAATGCCTCCTGTATGTCTTGTAACCACTGAATTTGAAACAGTGGTGTTCTTGTAGAAGTGTTTCTTGTAGCAGTATGATGTCAAGCTTGTCTTTGGCTGCTGCTTCTTTCAGGAGGTGTTTCTTGTTTTTGATGCCCTGAGCATTCCATGTAAGGATGTTCAGGGTGCTGATGTTTTCCACCACTGTTTCATCGGGGACTTCTGGTGGTCCTCGATGGAAATGTTCAAGTCCGATTCCGACTGGATCAGGTCCATATCTTCTTGTTCTGTGGTTTTTGCCTTCTGGGTCGTGGTTCGGTTCAGGGGAGTTGAAACGTCCAATTTCTTTCTGGGAGCTGTCGGTATCTTGGGTTCTCTGGTGGCCTTTTTCGGTGTAGAGTGTACCTCGGCTGTCACTCGTGTGAGGACCGGCGTGGCTTCCTCCACTGAGGTGGCTGGAGCTGTGGCGACTTGCCCGAGGACGCTCCCCATGAGTATTTGGAGCTTTGTGGGTTGGATCTTGTGGCCCAGTAGTCCGGCTAGGCCCTCCGCGAAGGTTGTCAGTACCTTGGCTAGGTCTGATACGAGTATCATTCCTTCTGGTGCCTTGGTGTGTGCTTCTTTTGTCTTTTTCGTGGTTGTCGTTGTCTGCTGCTTGGGTGGCTGAGGTGTGGCCGGAGTGAGGCCAGGAAACTGGGCTGCACTTTGGGTGTTGACCGGCTGAGGAGGTTGGCTTTGTTGTTTTGGCCTATGGGTTCCCCACACGAAGGTACTTGGTGGGGCTGGTGTGCAGGCGGTGGGGGCCGGTCTTGCTGCTGGTCGGTTTGCCTGGACCCTCTTTGTCCTCTCGGAGCATCCAGGGTTCCAGGCGTGGTGTTTTCCCCTGCAGTTGGCACACTTGGGGGCAATTTTTTCTCCATTTTTCAACTTGGTGAGGCAGGAGTGTGTGCTGTGCTTCTGTGCGCAGACTGCGCAGATTTCCTCAGATATATTGGTATGTATGTTTTTCTACTGAATTGGTTTGATCTGACAAAATTTACTATACAGTGTTGTAGGAACATTTTATTTTGAAAACATTGGAGTTTATAGTACGGTGGAGTACGATAGAGCCTTACACTGAAGTGAAGGACAGTTCGGTAAATACAGTAAAGTTCTGTCCTGTATCAAACGATGTGTTTTACTGTTATGTAATAAATGAAACTGTGGTGCGGTAAACAGAGTACTGCCTTGGAAAACCATCTACTGGTATCACATCCTAGTAAACTCGAATACAAAGTAGCATAATGCAGGCTAGCACGGAACACTACAGACTTATACAGCAAGTATCAAGGAAACGTTTGAATGGTACTGAAAAATACAATGAAGGGCAGCCTGACACCGTTTCCCAGCATATAATACAGAATGGCACGGCACAACACCAGATGATTACAGCAATACAGCATGATACAACGTGGTACAGAAAAATACTAACTAGTACAGCAGATTATGCTGACTAGTACAACATGTTAAAAGGTGATCACAGTTTAGTAGAGACAACAAGGAGGGGGAAGGGTCGAGGGAAGTTGTTGTCAAGCGGTGTATCTCGGTAATGAGCTTCGCCCTTGATGACTGATCCAGGACCGCCAGGAGACTACTTAATGTGATTGTCTTTCGCAGTTATCTCTCCCTCTCACACTCTCTCTTTTGGTGGTTCTCTATCTCTCCCTCTCTCTTAACTTATTCGTGTGTGAGTGTGTGTGTGTGTGTGTGTGCGTGTGTGTGTGTGTGTGCGTGTGTGTGTGTGTATGTGTGTGTGTGTACATGTGTGTGTATTCGTGTGTGCGTGTGTGTGTATATAAAATAAGGGCGTTTCCTTCTCTCTCCCTTAGTCTGTATGTCGTCATCAGTTTAGCCTTCAGCCTTACCTATGCTTGTTGGTATTAAGGGTGGTGGAGTATCACCCACCCCTTTGCTTATGTGCAATGTAAATATTTGGTTTTTATTTTCCCCTTTCATTGTTACTTAAATTATTGAATAGAAATAAAAACGAACGGAATTAGGTGGCTTTGATGTTCCTCCAACAATATATAGCACACGTAAAAATGATAAATGATAACTAGTGGAATTTTCCCTTAACAAGTCTAGAGATGACGCAACCTTCCCCTGCCATACCACTACAACATTCCACCAGCGAGATTCACCCACTCCGGAAGGAGCGCCCCGGCACCAGCCTCTCCCTGGTTAAGATTTCACCAAAAGGCGTCCCCTCCCCCGACAGGGAGTTTCATCACGGAGCGCCCCTTCCCCTGACTGAGAGTTTAATCTCGGGATTCCCTTCTTACTGGCTGAAAGTTTCATCATGTGGCGCCCCTCCCCTGGCTGGGAGTTTCATCAGGGGGTGTCCCTCCCCTGGCTGAGAATTTCAGCAATGGACGCCCCTCCCGACTGGGAGTTTCATCACGTGGCGCCCCTCTTCCTGGCTGAGAGTTTCATCACGGGGCACCCCCTACTCCTGGCTGGGAGTTTCATCACGGGGTTCCCCTCTTACTGGCTGGGAGTTTCATCAGGGGGCCTCCCTCCCCTGGCTGGGAATTTCAACATGGGACGCCCCTCCCCTGACTGGGAGTTTCTTCACAGGGCGCCCCTGTCTAGGAGTTTCATCAAGGGGCGCCCTTCTACTTGGCTACGAGTTTCATCACGGGGGGATCCTTCTCCCTGGATGGAAGTTTCATCACGGGGCGCCCCTCCCCCGGCTGGGAGTTCCGTTAGGCCATTTAACCTGTCAGTCTTCATTCAGGCAGCAGTTTGGTCCGCCACGCCCGACAAACTACGCCGACAAGAAGGCTGGAGGATCCCTGGCTCCCAAACTCAACACAAGTGGGGGGAAAACCTCTATAGGGATTTCCCCCACCAGGGTGGGCCGCTACTCGGTTAATATCTACTCTGAGTTCCTGCTGATATGAGGCTTTTTGGAGGAGTGGGCTGTGCTAGACTGTAGTTTATGGCTAGTGGCATGAAAGTGACCACCACTTTCATTGTATTAGTCAACACTTGCTATAAACTGGCTATGTGTGTTTAAAGCGGATTATATGGTCTATAATAAAATGCTCCCTCAGAAAACTCTCGCGACATTCTCTTTGATGGGTCAAATTGGCCACTTGGGCAGTGTTCTCGCCCCTCTTACCTCAGTTTACCCACTGTACTCTAACCTCAGTCCCCCACTCTACTCTCCCTCACCTCAGTCTCTGACTCTACTTTGCCTCTCACCTCCGTCCACACTCTACTCTCCCTCTCTCTATCTCATTTCAGTCCCCACTTTACTCCCCATCTCACCCCAGTCTCCCACTCTCCTGTCCCTATCACCTCAGTCCCCACTATATCTTCCCTCTCATTCTCCCACACTCTCCCTTTTCTCACCTTTTCCCACTCTCTCCTGCTACCTCCCACTATATCCCCCGCTTCCTTCCCTTTCCTCGGCCGTTCTCTCACTCTCCCATCTCTATTTTTCACTTGCTTTTCTAGGTCTTCTTCTTCAGTAACGCAGAAATACACTGAGAGGAGCTTGAGTGAAGGACCTGAATACACTGTGCTCATATTTCAAGGTGGGTTTTAATGTGGATATATTCAAAGCGTCAAGACACATAAGTACATAATTGAGCTTAAACATTAATGATCCAACCATAGATCCAAAACGAAAGCAGGGACGAGTTGTCGATTCTGAGTAAACTCAAGAAATACACTCTGCCACGTTCGTAGAGTGATACGGTATATATAATTTGTAATAAAAGTTTAAATTCCTGCTATAATAGTCGAGATAAGTTTATTTCTTTAGAAAAACGGCCGCCATTTGCAATGACGTCACCATCTTCCCCGCAGATGACGTTCTCCAACAAACTCACCGCTGCAGTCGGAGGTAGTAGAAAGGATGGCCTCTACAGACCCCAAAAACCACGTTCAGGTAAGTTTTAAGGGTGTTTTTGTTCTATGGTCTAAGTCATGGACATTTCGTAAGTGAAGAAATGTGCCAGGAAGAGCAGCTTATGAACATAAAAAAATCTCAAGTTTACACCAGCTCAGCTGTCATGTATTCTTACCTGGTAGATTTGTTTTCCAGCGCATTTACAGAGTATATCAGTACAAGGTTCAGATACAAGTCAATTTAGAAGTAATGACATTGTCTGGACTTTGTTTTGAGAATGCCTGATGCTAGGTAAATATGACAACATAGTGCTGTTATTGTTTTGATGATTCACTTATGAACCACTGGGATATATCATCGTTTATATTAATTACTGTAATGGGTAAAATTATACTTTAACTATCATAAGTATTTGGATGCTTAGATTCGAGATAGGCTATATTGGGTAAATTTTAAGTTTTGGTCATCACCTGCACTTAGACATGCAGACTATGTTTTTTTTTCTGATGGTTTGCGATGTGTTATGAACGATTTTGACATTCATTTCCATCGGAAATCACCAATTTTGAGTTACTACCCCCCTTACCGGTGTATGTTAAGCTAATCTTATAACTTATAACTTATCATAGCCTAACCTGATCCTCTCAAGCCCATTCCCTGGCCATGGTCGTCCCTAGTCCTTCCACAACATTAAATATAGACATCAGTGACGAAAACTTATATTTTCAAGACATGAAATAGAGAACAGTGATGAAAACTTCCATGTTTGAGTTATCGGTCTTTTGTATCATTTTCGCACGCAGCAAGTAAATACACATGATGATACTTGGGCAGCACTTTATTTTAACCGAAAAATAAAGTATGCCTGTTTATATCAACATTGCATATGGCCACAAGTCCTGTAATTCTGCTGGTAACAACACATACGCCACAGCTGGCTGCCTCCAGGCTCCTGCTCGTCGGCTCCAGCCAACCTGTGACATCACAACCAATCACAGAGCTCTTCTCAGTCACGAGAATTTTTAGCTACTTTAATCCTTATTTTTTTTGACACTTTTGGCCCAATTTATTTAAGAATATCTTTACCATAATGAATTTGAGCGTTTTCTTTACCGATTGACCTGACATCTTACGAAACAATTCCGACGGACATAAGAACATAAGAATGGAGGAAACTGCAGCGGGCCTATTGGCCCATACTGGGCAGTCCCGTTTACACCCAACCCCTATTGCTCATATGAGCATCCAACCTATGTTTGAAGCAATTCAGCGTATTCGAGTTAATGATGATATTTGGTAACTTGTTCCATTCATCCACTACTCTGTTTCCAAACCAGTGTTTACCTATTTCACGCCTAAATCTAAATTTGTCTAATTTAAAACCATTGTTACGAGTTCGCTCCTGGTTGGATAGTTTGAGTACCTTTGTAATGTCCCCTTTGTTTAGCCCTGCCTTCCACTTATACACCTCTATCAGGTCGCCCCTCGCTCTACGTCTCTCAAGGGAGTGCAAATTAAGATGCTTTAACCTGTCTCTATACTCAAGGTTCCTAATGCCCGGGATTAGTCTTGTCATTCTCCTCTGAATTCATTCCAAGGATTCTATATCCATTCTGTAATACGGTGACCAGAACTGAACTGCGTAATCCAGGTGTGGTCTCACAAGAGCAAGATACAGTTTTAGGATGACCTCGCTAGTCTTGTAACTAACACTCCTTTGTATGAACCCAAGTACTTTATTAGCCTTGTTACGAGCAAAAACACATTGTTTACTTGGCTTAAGGTTCCTACTTATCATTACTCCTAAATCTCTCTCACAGTCGGATTTCTCTATGGCATCGTTGTTCATCTGGTATCTGGTTTCCCTGTTTACATCTCCTATACTGAGTACTTTACATTTGTCGACGTTGAATTTCATCTGCCATTTTTCAGACCATTCGAAAAATTTGTTTAGATCTTCCTGTAGTTTTGCCGAGTCCTCGTCAGATTTGATAACACGTCCTATTTTAGTGTCATCGGCAAATTTACTTATGTTGCTGTCAATGCCGATATCTACGTCGTTTATGTATATAATAAATAATAATGGTCCATGTACTGAGCCTTGGGGAACTCCACTTGTGACGTTGCTCCAATGGGACTTAGTGCCGTTAATGCTCACTCGCTGTTTCCTGTCCTGTAACCACGCCCTAATCCATTTAAGGATGTCACCTTTGATACCATGAGCTTCTACCTTTCTAATTAGTCTTTCGTGGGGGACTCTGTCGAAGGCTTTGCTAAAGTCGAGATATACCACATCATAATTGTGCCCCTCGTCCACCGATTCGAAAACTGATGAAAAGAATGTTAATAGATTAGTTAGGCAAGAACGTCCGCTTGTGAAGCCATGCTGGGAATCATTGATCAATCTGTGCTTCTCCAGGTGATTTCGAATAGAGTTTGAAATGATTGCTTCCAGTAATTTGCCTACTATCTCGTCCATTCGAGACCTTTAGTCCTAAAATTGTGCACCATGGCATTACTATTGACCACGGACCCCCGGGTGGATAGTATATATATATATATATATATATATATATATATATATATATATATATATATATATATATATATATATATATATATATATATATATATATATATATATATATATATATATATATATATATATATATATATATATATATATATATATATATATATATATATATATAAGTAAATAAAAGGTGTGATCTAGGTATATGCTGATAATACAAGGAAGAAAACACAAGTTCCCTATGTTCTATATATATATATATATATATATATATATATATATATATATATATATATATATATATATATATATATATATATATATATATATATATATATATATATATATGTAATTATATATATATATATATATATATATATATATATATATATATATATATATATATATATATATATTATTTCGTGTTACATCTTCAGGGTGAGTACAGACTAGAGAGAGAAATACAAATCATGGTGTATATATACAGAGAAGGGTGAGACCAGGTCCACAATGGTCAGGTATTAGGTAATGACCCTACTAATCTTTAAATAGCACACAACGGTTGGTGGTCAGGTCAGATGGTCAGGTGACCCGGCCTTCTCACCTGGTCACAAATCTTCTTAATTACAAAATTGTCCAGCTTGTGCAATGCACTGTTAAAACAAAATGTTAATCCAAGAACTCCCCCAACAACACAAATTAGGGTTGCATTTATAAAGTTCACTTGCAAGGAATGTAATATGTTTTACTTAGGCCAGACAGGTAAAGATCTTGCAACTAGAATTAAACAACACAAATACAGTGTTAGGACAGGCCAGGAATCCAATGCTCTGTTTGTTCATTTGAGGGATAACAAGCATTGCATTGACTGGGATAATGCCTCCTCAATATTACCATGTAATTCAATTGATAGTAGGAACATCTTAGAATCTAGTCATATTAAACATACCGAAGCATTCAACATGAATTTGAGTAACGGCATGTACAAGTTGGACAATTTTGTAATTAAGAAGATTTGTGACCAGGTGAGAAGGCCGGGTCACCTGACCATCTGACCTGACCACCCTCGCACCACATATAAAACTTTACACTAAGACAAGACAGTTAAAGGTGATCTTCAGTATATGTAGAATATGAAATGGCAAAAGTGTTTAGGGAGACGTTTTTAAGCGGCTTTTTTATTCAGCTTCCTGGAAGAGTTAATATTGTGCCGTGTAGCGCTCCTCTGGCCACCAGTGTACCCCACGGTTTTTTCTCTCTCGGCCAGTGATTCTCAGTGCCTTTATATATTTCGCAGTTTCCCCTCTATTTCTCACTTTCCCTCCGTGTCTGTCTGTCTGCCTGCCTTTCTCTCTCCCCTTCAGTGTGTTTCTGTCTCACCGATTCTTTTTCTCTCAGTCTGTCTCTTTTTTTGCCTCTTTGATTCTCTAAACGTATTTGTTTCTCATCGCATCTTTCCTGTTCTCTTAATGTCTCTCTGTCTCACCGATTTTCTTTATATATCTCGGTCTTTCTTCCTTTGTTTTTTTCTTTTTCAACATTGTATCTCACTCTCTTACAGTATCTATTATTGTCTGTCAGTTTCTTCTTTTATGTCTTAGTATTCCGAGCGCCTCTCTCTCTCTCTCTCTCTCTCTCTCTCTCTCTCTCTCTTCACCCTCGTCATCAGGCCTCGAGTAGCTACTTCAACTCGGGGAAAATATAATCCGAAAAAAAGATTAATTCAATCCTGGGAATAATTACTTCATTGCAATATCAATCATCCCCCCTCAGGTGAACCCAACATCATCACGTATGAACTGAGGTCGTGGTTCTTAGATTTATTCTGTTCTTAGTTTGTGGTTTTTCTTCATTCTATTCTTGGGTTTTGGTTTTTCATCATTCTATCCTTGCGTTGTGGTTTTTCTTCATTCCATTCTTGGGTTGTGGTTTTCTTCATTCAATCCTTGGGCTGTGTTTTTTCTTCATTCCGTTCTCGGGGTTGTTGTTTTCATCTTCATTCCATCCTTGGGTTGCGTTTTTTTTCATTCATTCTATCTTTGGGTTGTGGTTTATATAATAATTCTATCCTTGGTATATGAAGGTCAAAATGGAAACTCAGAGTTTGTCGCAATATTTATTTAAAATGTTTCAACCTGAGAAATCAATTGCAAAATATAATATGTCCAGTAAAGTTAAACCCTACCAAACCTAATATATCAATTACTAAACATACGAATGTAATCCTTGACGAAGTTTCATTACTGTTAACTTCTTCAAACCATATATAGCATGCATAATCCCACACTACAACCCTCCACTTTATATTAAGACATACAGTATGTTATGTCACCTATAAACCCAACCTAAATATTTTTCTATAACCACCGACCTTACATACGTTCAAATATTACTCATATCATAACTCATATATTCAGGAAGAACCCATTTGGGTCTATAGTGAAGCCACTATTCCTCACACAAATTGAAATAACATCTTTATGTTAACTCGTGCTCCATGAAACTAAATACAGGCCGAAATAATCATTTAAAATATTAACTGTGACAATTTCAGTAAATGTGCTAACCTAAAATAAATGATAATACACTTGGGTTGTGGTTTTTCTCTGCGTTGTATCACTGGGTCTTGTTTTTATCAAAATATCTCATTCAACTATTTTTTCTTTAAATAAAGCGGAATAAGATTGAACAGTGTTGTGGTTTGTTATTATCCATCCTTCCCTCATTAGTCAAGGGCTTAAAATTGAATAGAAAAATAATATATACTTTCAATCCTTCGTCAATTAATAGTTTAAGAGATTGATATCATGTATGGATTTTATATATAAGGCTTTATCCATTAACATTAGAAGGGTCTGTTCTTTCTGTCTGTCTGTCTGTCTCGTTTTACGCATCTGTCTGTCTGTCTGTCTATTGGGGAAGGCACTGAGCACTTATCATTCTTTACATGACACAGCTATACATGGCACAGATAGGCATGATACAGCTAAACATGACACAGCTATATATGCCACGTCTGTACATGACAAAGGTATACATGTCACGGCTATATATGGCCCAGCTGTACATAGTACAGCTATACATGACAAATCAACACATGTAATAAATAATAATTAACGGTTTATTGAAAGAGCTTGGCAGCCAGAAGGCTGAAAATATACAGTTACATATTTGGGGAATGGGTTTCGAATTACAAATAATATACAAGTAACATAAGTGACACAAATAAGACATATAATAACTAGATGGGGAAAAGCTCAAACTACATCGAAAATATGATTCAAGTCTAGCTCGACCACTTGTTACTTTGGCGTCATCTACCTCTACATTATCATCTACCCCTACGTCATCTTCTACCTCTACGTCCTCATCTGTCTCTACGTCACCATTTACCACTACTTCATCATTTTCGTCTATGTCATTGCTCTACCTTTACGTCCTCATCTACCTGTAAGTCATCATCTACCCCTTCGTCACCATTTACCACTACGTCATCATCTACCCTTATTTCATTAACTACATCTATATAATCATCTACCTCTCTATCATCATCTACCGCTGTCTTCATCTACCTCTACGTCATCATCTACATCTACATCACCATCTACCACTGTCTTCATCTACCTCTACGTCATCATCTACCTATACATCATCACCTACCGCTATGTCTTCATCTACCTCTACGTCAACATCTACCCTTACTTCATCATCTAAATCTACGTCATCATCTACCTCTATTTCATCATCTACCTCAACGTCATCATCTACCCTTAAGATATCATCTACCTCGACGTCATCATCTACCCCTAAGACATCATCTACCTTAACGTCATCATCTACCCCTAAGACATCATCTACCTTAACGTCATCATCTACCCCTAAGACATCATCTACCTTAACGTCATCATCTACCCCTAAGACATCATCTACCTCGACGTCATCATCTACCCCTAAGACATCATCTACCTTAACGTCATCATCTCCCTCTACGTCATCATCTACCTTAACGTCATCATCTACCCCTAAGACATCATCTACCTCTACGTTATCATCTACCTCTACGTCATCATCTACCTTAACGTCATCATCTACCCCTATGTCATCATCTACCCCTAAGACATCATCTACCTCTACGTTATCATCTACCTCTACGTCATCATCTACCTTAACGTCATCATCTACCCTAGACATCATCTGCTCTACGTTATCATCTACTCTACGTTATCATCTACCTTAACGTCATCATCTACCCCTATGTCATCATCTACCTAAGACCTCATCTACCTCTCGTCATCATCTACCTTAACGTCATCATCTACCCCTATGTCATCATCTACCCTAAGACATCATCTAGCTCTACGTTATCATCTACCTCTACGTCATCATCTACCTTAACGTCATCATCTACCCCTATGTCATCTATCTACCCTAAGACATCATCTACCTCTACATTATCATCTACCTCTACGTCATCATCTCCTACGTTTTCATCTACCTCAACGTCATCATCTACCCCTATGTCATCATCTACCTCTAAGACTCATCTACCTTAACGTCATCATTTTACCCTAATACATCATCTACCTTAACGTCATCATCTACCCCTATGTCATCATCTACCCCTAAGACATCATCTACCTCTACGTTATCATCTACCTCTACGTCATCATCTACCTTAACGTCATCATCTACCCCTATGTCATCATCTACCCCTAAGACATCATCTACCTCTACATTATCATCTACCTCTACGTCATCATCTCTCCCTACGTTTTCATCTACCTCAACGTCATCATCTACCCCAATGTCATCATCTACCTCTAAGACATCATCTACCTTAACGTCATCATTTACCCCTAATACATCATCTACCTTAACGTCATCATCTACCCCTATTTCATCATCTTCCTCTACATCATCATCTACCTCTACGTTATCATCTACCTCAACGTCATCATCTACCCCTATGTCATCATCTACCTCAACGTCACCATTTTCCCCTATGTCACCATTTACCTCCACATCATCATCTACCCCTACGTCAGCATCTACATCTACATCAATATCTACTCTTATGTTACCATTTACCTCTATATCATCATCTACCTCTGTATAATCATCTGCCTTTATGTCATCAACAAACCATTACGTCATCATCTACCCCTAAGTCATCATCCATCTCAACGTCATCATCTACCACTACATGATCATCTACCCATACGTCATAATCTACCTCTCTGTCTTCATCTACTGTGCATCATCATCTACCCCTACTTCATCATCTGCCTCAATTTCACTATCTACCCCAATGTCTTCATCTCCCTCTACGTCATCATCTATCTCTACGTCATCATCTACCCCTACGACAAAATTTACCTCTACGTCATCGTCTATCCCTATGTCATCAACTACAGTAGCCTCTTTGCTATCATTTATATTTATGTGATCATCTACCACTACATCATTATCTACCGCTATGTGATCATCTATCTCTACATCATCGTCTACTCCGATGTCGCCATCTACCTCTTACGTTATCATCTACCTCTATGTTATCATTTACCTCTATGTGAATGTGAGGGCGCGTGTTTTCCCAACAACACCTCTACACCACCCTCATCTTACTTACTTCTCTTATGTTAGTTCTTACGCTTACTCGGTTCTGTCACCTATTCTTTTGGTAGCATGGACATTCTTTTGGTAGCATGGTTGAGGGTCTAGGCACATGGGTATGGTAATTCTGGTATCAAGTCACTTGGACGGAAATAAAGGTAAAATACTGTGGGAGAAATGAATACACCTAAAGTACTCTAAAAACAAATTTATTAATATGAAATGAAAGGGAAAAATATATATTATTAATCATATAACTACCAGGCTCAACTCCTGGGCTTATTGCAGACTCAGTACTTTCTTCTTTACTTATTTTCTTATTTACTTATTTTCTTATTCCTTTACTCAACAGTAATTGCTCAGATCTTACACTCTTACTGCACACAGCCTAACTGGTGTTACAGTACATGGCATAGCAGGACCAGTTCCTTGGCCCTACTCACAATACATAGTACATGGCACTCATTGTAGATTACTTTACTCAACATCCAAGTGGTACTTCTCAGTACTGTTACAAGGCCTTACTCAACATACACGTTAATAATGAAACCCGCCGATACATGGGGTCCACCACCCAACATGGGATAATTATTTCCAACTAATTATCCCTAACATACATATTACAACGCCCTCTGTTGACATATACTTCCAGGGAGGGTCTCAAGGTGGAACACTGGGGTTTACGACCGTTGTTATTGTGCGTGGTAGCCAGACACATGGCGAGTCTGGGGTTTGGCCCAACGAGGCAGTGGGGCACATTAATCAGGCCGCATCCGTGCCATCGTTTCATATATGGTCCCTGCTGGGTATCTACTACATCCGGGGCAGTTGTTGAGCGATGCAAGGATCACAATGGGATCTGGAACAAACGTTGGGGCGGCGTCAGGGGACGGACTGGGAAGCATGAACACACAAACAAATCTCTTGTTTAGACGACAGACATATTTACGTTATAGTACTTCTTACACTGGGTGAATGACAATTCAACGTTGGGGCTGCGTCAGGGGATGCTCTCCCTGCGAGATGCACGGGTATATATATCCCTGAGTTGCCAGTGATTGCTACTCAACCAATGACAATAATCACAAACAAACTAACTGTTACTCATTCAAAGATGACCCTCAGTTGACAAAGGTCTGGCGAATTACTTGAGTTGATATACACTGACTAATTCAAGATTGAGCCTCCCAGGAGAGAGTGGAATAAACAACGCATTGATAACTGTCTTCACAAAAGCGGGACTCTGGGAGGGAACAAGTGTATGTATGTATGTATTCTAGGCGATTTCAACTTTTCAGGCATAGATTGGAAAAATCAACTTAGCGATAATGAATCTGAAGATTTTCTAGAAGTAGTACAAGATAGTTTTTTATATCAATTCATAAACTCGCCCACTAGAGGAAATAATATCCTCGATTTAGTTCTCAGTAATAATGAAAATCTAGTAAAAGATGTTGGGATTGGAGACGAACTAGGAAACAGTGATCATAAAGCCATATATTTTAACATAATATGGGATGGCAGGAAGAAGGAAAATTCGGCCTTGATCCCGGATTTTAGGAAGGCTAATTACGGTAGCTTAAGGAGAGACCTAAGGGATGACCCTATGGTCAAAAGATTAATCCCCCCCACACCTCGGAAACTGTCAACTTAGGACGGGATAACCCCGAATTTAATTTAGCAGCTACTTATGAACAATTTATTGCGACAATCAATAATGCCCAAAATAAACACATCCCTAAAAGAAAATTCAGATCGATACGGAACCAACCAAAATGGATGAATAATAGACTCTTAGATCTTCTAGGGAAAAAGAAAGGTATATAGAAAAGTTAAGAAAGGCGAAAATCACTTACTTGGTTACTATCAGAACCTAACAAGACAGGTAAAAACAGAAATTAGGAAAGCAAAGAGAAATTATGAAATCAAGGTAGCAAACGAATCGAAAAATAACCCCAAAGCTTTTTATCAACTGTATAAATCAAAGGTTAGAGATACAATAGGTCCCCTTAAAACTACGACAGGAGAAATGACTGATGATGAGTTAGAAATGTAGTACGTTAAATAGTCATTTTCGCTCGTATTCACAAATGAAAACCTAGCACAGTTTCCAGAAGTTCATAAGGTATATAACGACAGTATAGAAAATATGTTGATGAATATCAATATTACTAGTAACGATGTGCTTAAAGTAATTAACAAACTGAAGCCTCATAAATCGCCTGGTCCAGACGAGGTATATGCTAGAATATTAAAAGAATGTAGAGATGAGTTGAGTAATCCATTAGCAGTTTTATTTAATAAGTCATTAGAATCGGGCCTAGTGCCAGAAGCTTGGAAACTTGCAAATGTAGTTCCGATTTTCAAAAGGGTGATAAATCAATAGCATCAAATTACCGTCCCATTAGTCTCACGTCAATCATAGGCAAGTTGCTAGAGTCAATTATTGCTACAAAAATCAGAAGCCACCTTGAAACATTCAACTTAATTCATTCTTCTCAGCACGGGTTCACCCAGGGACGTTCTTGTCTCACAAATTTGCTTAGCTTTTTCTCAGAAGTATTTGAAGCGGTAGATAATGATAAGCCATATGATATAATTTATTTAGATTTCAGTAAAGCATTCGATGAGAGTCCCCTCATGAGATTGATAAGGAAGGTAGAAGCACTGGAATAGGTGGATCGGTATTAAAATGGATTAGGTCATGGTTAGCAGGAAGGAAACAAAGAGTCAGCATAAATGGATTAAGAAGTCAGACTGGGGTGCGGTCAAAAGCGGAGTTCCCCAGGGATCTCTGTAGTAGGCCTCTGTATTTGTTATCTTCATTAATGATCTTGATTTAGTATAACTAATGAGATTATTAAATTTGCAGATGATACCAAAATGGGGAAGTGATAAATTCGAACAGTGACTTTGAACACCTTCAAAGAGATCTAGATACCGCCATGAGTGGTCAGTAAACTGGCAAATGAATTTTAATGATAAATACAGGTACTACAGTAGGAAGACGAATACAAACGTTAAGTATAAGCCATTAACGGAAATAGAAAACTCAGTTTGTGAAAAAGATCTGGGTGTGTTGTTAACGACTTGGAAACCTACTGAAAACAATGTATTAGCGTTCGCAACAAGGCAAACAGGATTCTTGGGTTCATATCTGGGTCTTATTGAGTAACAGAACTGCTGACGTTATCTTGAAAACTTTACCTAGCATTAGTGAGGCCACACATGGATTATGCGGTTCCGGTTCTGGTGTCCTTATTATAGAATGGACATAGATTCTTTGAGAGAGAGTACAAGAAGAATGACAAAAATGATCCATAATATTAGAAACCTTCCATATGAAGAAAAGACTGGCTTAGGCTTACATTGTTAGAGGCGTAGGTTGAGGAGATATGATGAGGGTGTACAAATTGGGTAAGTGGGATTAACAAAAGGGTAAAATGGAAGATGTTCTGAGCTCAGTAATAACAGAAATAACTAGAACAAATGGCTTTAAGAGTGAATAATTCCGATTCAGAAAGGATATAGGCAAGCACTGGTTTGGTAATAGAGTTGTGGATATGTGGAATAGGCTACCGAGTGCTATAGTAGGATCGGGGACGCAAGGGAGCTTCAAGACGAAGTTGGATAGGCACATGGAAGTGCTGGGATGGGTGTGAAAGGGATCTGCCCTGCATGGGCCAGTCGGCCTCCTGCAGAATCCCACTTTCTTATGTTATGTTCTTATGTGTAGCGTCGATGGCGAAAAACACGTCTTCTCGGGGGTCGCTAACCCACTCATGTTTTGGGGTCGTGGAGTTTAATAAGAATCATTAGTTAAATAGACTAGCAGTCAACGTGACCATGACATGATCATCTACCTCTAAGTCATTGTCTCCCTTTTCGTCATAATACGTCAGCGTGGTTAGAAACTTATAATTAACTGCGATGTGAGCTCAACTTTGTTCCATGGGAATTATCGGCCAATAATTAAATATATATTTTTAACTTTGTACTAAAATTTCGGTAAAAACCATGTGAGCTTTTGAGTGTTCACGATAATTTCCGTCGCTCACCTACTTTACCCGCCAGAGTTAAATCAAACCTTTACACTGAAATCCAAATTTAAGTTCTTTGTCTCCGTTTTTAGTGTTGTACACCCTGGACGAAAGAAAATTTCGAGGTTCTCTGACCGTTTTCGCCCCCATGATTTCCTCTTGACTCAGTTCCGGTCATTGCCGAGGCGATCTTTAATTGGGTGACCAGTGTGTGTGTGTGTGTGTGTGTGTGTGTGTGTGTGTGTGTCCCTGCTGCTGGCAGACCTGTGACGATGTGTGTGTCGCCAAATCCTACCTCAAAAGACAACAGTAATATATATATATATATATATATATATATATATATATATATATATATATATATATATATATATATATATATATATATATATATATATATATATATATATATATATATATGTATATATAATATATATAATATATATATATATATATATATATA